AGGTGTAATACCCCAAATTTTACCCTTAGATTATTAGGTTCATTTCTCATTTTCATCTCATTTTTGCATTGCATTGTAACTAACCGCTAACCAGTTTGCTCAGTCTGTTGGTTTTTGCAGGAAAAATCACTCTGTGTGCGATTTAATTGGTGAAGGGCAAAATGGTCATTAACCTGCAGCCTGCTGACAATTCATGAAGCTGAGTCGTCATCAAGGGTTCCCCAAGTGATTCCTAAGCCACATGGAGCTGAGTGTGTTGCGATAGAATTGGATTCATGTTAAAACAATGCGAGAATTGGCTTTGCGGAATTTATTTTAACAGACGCACGTTTTCCTGCTTTTTGCTGGTCATCGGTTGATTTTGGAAGAGAACAATAGAATTTCAGTTCGTGTTAGAATTTATAATGAGAAGCTTGTTGTTTTGACTAGGACGGGTAGTCGAGCTGATTCAGGTGGCCGAGTTAAAGCAGTCAAGATGCGATTTGAATTTTCGATACAAAAGATAGTTAGTTCTGCTGTTAATTAAATTTTCTCTGGTTATCTGTTCATGGCCGCATGTCCCGGTTTAATCGAATATACCTCGTTAGAGGAATTTAATTAGGTTAATTCAGTTTATCTGGATTTATTTGTTTGAGCTTAATCTGATGGACTGTCAGGTGAATTAATCCAATAAAGTTAGTCAGATAAATTTTAATTAACGGAATTTATTCGTTTAAGTTTAATCAGATAACTGAAATTAATTGGATTTAGTTAGTTTGAGTTTGATCGGATGACTTATCTGTTGGAATATAATCTAATAAATTTAGTCGGTTGAGTTTATTCATTTGAGTTTAATCAGAAGAATTGCTTCGGAGAATTTAATCAGGAAGGTAATTGCAAGAAAATAATCAATTTAATTTTATTTGGATGAAGAGTTTAGCCATTTGGATTTAATTGAATCGGAAATTGTAAAAGGCAATTGGGGAAATAATTGAATTTTTTATTCATTTCAATTTTTTGTTTTATTACAATATTACAAAAGAAATAGTAATTACAAAAATAAATTTCTAAATTCCTAAAATTGTCCTAAAAATTCTTCCGCTTCCGATTCTTCAAGTTTTCGATCTTTTTTCTTCGAGCCTGCAAGTCAACAGCAAACAAGCATTTTTTAAACAGTTAGAAAAGTGGTTCCCATACCCTCAGCTTAATGTCATCATCGGGTACGTCGAAAGGACAACAACAAAGTCGAAGCCATCTTCCGACTTATTTTTTCCGACCTCGGCACAAGACCGGCATAATCTATTCTAATTCCAGCCAGAGAGAGAAAAGTGATTTTTAAAAATAAGTACTTTTGGAAAGAAAAAAAACACTTGTTCCTAAAAAATGGTTTTGCCAAACAGGGCCTTAACAACATTTCTCAAAAATTCAGAACTCCAACGGATCAAATCCAACCAAGTCCTGGAAAAGATCGAACAAACTCAAACAATCACCAAACAAGAATTTCGCAACAATCTCCAAAACGCAAGCAACAAATTAAGCACAACCACAACCAAATTTTCATCAACATAACAAATCCTCAGCCTCAAAGATCTCAAAATACCAACAGCCACCATGAAAATCGTAAGTTCCAACAACACAACAACAAATAAACCAAGTCAAGCATAAAAAATCAAAAAAGAGGTGAAGAGATCCAAGCCCAAAAATTAAAGAAAAATCATCAGTATAAAAAAATCTCCTCATGGTTCATCATAGAGGATCGGAAAAATAGCAACAAAAGGAGGACGAACGAAGAACGACAATGCCAACCATCGCGAAAATCCCCAACGCGGATCACCATGCAAGCCCCAACGAAACCCATCAACACCTCAGAGGTTCCGTTTCAAGCCAAAAAACAACGCTTAGGCACGAACTGAAACGACAGCGTGAATCCATCAGCGGAATCACTACCACCGTCGTCTGAATCGCCTTCCAGACTCAGAGGATTCTTCATCGTCGTCCATGAGCGCCGTAGCCATTACGAGAATAAGCCGCTTTGAACCCACTAAGAAAGGTGAGCAGCTCAATTTCGGTAACAGTTTCATGTTTTTTCTTATGCTCGCAGAAAAAGAACAAGGGAGAAAGGACGCCATGCAAAGGAGAAAAGAGGAAGAAATTTCAATGAAGCTCAAGGCATGCAACAATGGCTGTCGGCCCCTTTGGAAGATGAAAGAGGGTTTCAAAACCCCAAAAGCAAAACGCATCAAGCAATGCCCCTTCCCCAATTTATGTATTGTTTCTTTTATTTTTTTTCATTTCTTATTATTATTATTTAATACTGTATAAGGTTATAGCTTGATTAAAATTGTTAACACCATTTTATGATTTAGTAATTAGGTGTTAAAACATTTTATCTCATTTTAATTTTTCTAACGTAGTTCAATTTAGATTAAAACCATTTTATTTTATTGACTAAAACCTCTCTTGTAATTAAAATTTTTTTAAAATTAAAACATAAGATTAAAATTAAACTCTCCTTCTAAAAAATAACTTTTCTTTCTTTTAGAAATTAACTTTTAATTTGGAAATTTTTTATTTATTTATTAAAATTAACCCTCTAATAAAATTAAACTTTTTTTTTAAAATTAAAACTCTTATTCATTTTTTTGGTTTTAAAATAAATCTAACTTTTTTTTCTAATTTAATAATTAACTTTTAATTAAGTCCCTAACATTTAAATTTTAAATCTCTAACCTTTTCTAAACACTTTCACTTTAATTTTTCTAATGGAGCCTTAACCAAAAAATCTAAGATAAATAGCCAAAATCCCTAACACCCCCGTTATATTGTCATCTAACTTTCGTTGTTTCTTATTCGTGCGTATTACCATGTCCTTATGTTTCGTATTGCATTTTTGGGTTGTAATTTACGCGAGACCATCGTCGCTGGTATTCTGTTTTATTCTTACATTTTGGGTTGTAATTTACGCGAATATATCGTCGATGTGCATCTTTTACCGTTTTCTTACTTTTTCATATTTTCATACTGCCGCTCAATCATTTTCATTACATTATTTACCATTAATCCCGTCTGAAGGATTAGGTCTAACTGTTTGACCGCCGTGTCAACATTCCTCCCTTTTGACTTTTTCAAATCCTAATTGCATAAGCGTCCCGCCGTTGACAAGTTTTACCCTTTACCCTAGCATAGGATAAGGAGTCGTCGTACTCCATATTAGGTTTTCCGCCGTGAAATACCTAATCTCACCCTTTTTCAATTTCAATTCAATTTCAACGTAGAAATAGGAGTCATTGAACTCCACGTAAGTGCTTCTTTATGAACGCTTATTCCCCATTGAAGCCTTGACCACCGTCAAGAAGTTTCTAACCACCCTTTCGAGGGGAACTACGATTACTCTGATTTCATCCCCTACCTCGGATACGTAGGCACAAGATGTGAATCTTGGCGAGTAAACTTAGGACTAACCCTTAAGTCTTTCTTTTCACCTTCTAACCCTTAGCATATACCCTTAAGCAAATAATAAAGGAAAATATCAAACATTAAAACAAGAGGTTCTTGTAGAGTATTACAGAAGTTTAGGGTGCTAATACATTTCCTAAACTTAACCAACCCCCGAATCCTAGATCTCTCCCCGCATTGTGTTTACGATACAAAAATTAGGTTTTCCCTTCCTTTGACCTTTCCTTCGGATAAATCAAAGACCCGATTGTGAGCAAAAATGTGATTCAAATTAATTAATAATTTAATATCTTATTCTCACCGCAACAATAAGAAATCAAACTGGTGGCTCTTCATAATCTCTAACTATCAACGAATAACCAACCAATAACCATTTGTTTTTATAAGAAATAAATTTATTTTTAAATACATTGAATAATTACTATATTTAAACATTATATAAATTAGATAGATTATATTCAATGAATCTAAATAATAAATTTTTTGTTATAAATATAATATATTGACTAATTACTTTAATTTAAAAGGATGAAAGATGGACAATAAGCTAACAACACTAATGAAAAATACAAATAAAAACCATAAGAAAATGTGGCTGATAAACATGGCTAATTATGACAATTTAATTAATTTCGGATTTAATAGTATGTGAGAAACATAGTGAATAGTCCTCGAAAGTTTAAAAAAGTACAAACAATTGTTACAAATATAACTATACAAAATAGTCAAATATAAATACTCATTTGAAGAAAATGTGTCTTGATCATAAATCAATTTTTAAATCATTAAATATATTTCTTGTTTTACTTAAATGATTTTTAATTAATAACTATAAATATATTTGAAACAAATGGAATATTCACTCTATCTATATTTATAAGATTTTATGACACATTTAAGGCATATATTAAACAAATATTAATATGTATGTTTTATGATTATTTATTACAAAATTATTATTCATTTATAAATATATTTATTTTAAGAATCATGCTAACCGATTTCCCGGAACACTGATTAAAAATTTTAAATAAGAAAAAATATTATATATTTAGTTTATTCAATATACACAAGATTTTTTTTAAATTAATTGTTTATATTTTGAGTGTATTAAATAAACATATTTAAAAAAGATATTTTTAATCTCTTAAAAAATATTCAATTGACTTGTTTAATTTCTTAACTTTGGGAGTATTTGTAGCATTTTTCTTATTTTAAATATTGTTTTTCATAAAAAAGTTTATAATATTAAAATCCAATATTGATATAACTTTTTTTAAACAGTAGGCTATCATAATAATAACATAAATAATTAATCAAAAACATTTTATATTTATATGCATAGTCAAATTCGTTGAGACACATAATAAATTTCCATCTTCACTCATTTCCACTAAAATATCAATTAATTCAATTAAAAATTTAATTCTTATTTTATATCCATCTAGATGAATGGGATAGATTTGACACATACACATGCATCAACCATTGTAATATATATACCCAAATTTAAACATTTTCATCAAAAGGTTTATCTTATAAACTCAGGTTCTTTTCTCTCTCTCATGGCTTCGTATCCCGTCCTTGAAGTAGATGATGCCGTTATCCGTAAGGATATGATAGGTTCTTCCATCCTTTTCTTTATAATCTTCTTCGTCAGCATTCGCATTTACTTCTACCTCCGCCATCTTCGACGCCAACGTTTAATTTCTTCAGACTCTCGTACGGCTCCCACTTTTGCAGGAGAACGTCTTGACACTTCCGTTCTCAAATCGCTTCCCATCACCACTTACTCTTCGTCTGCCGCTCGCCGTACTCTCCATGACTGTGCTATCTGTCTGTCGGAGTATACCGACGGCGATGAATGCCGCACGCTTCCAAACTGTAATCATGTTTTTCATTCCCACTGTATTGACGCATGGTTTACTTCTCACTCTAATTGCCCTCTCTGTCGAACTCCGGTCCAACCGGTAACGGCTGAGTCTCAAATTGAACCGGGTTCTATTTCGAGTTCAAAAGAATCGGATGAGGGTAGTTCGTATTTTCCTGAACCGATTGGGTGTCCGAGAAGGCCGTTTAGAGTAATGGTTGAGTTACCACCAGAGGTTTTCAGGATTGAATCTCATACCCGAGGATAATGTGGTTTTGGATTTTGGGTAATCTCATGCAAAAATATCTGTCACTTTGGTACGTGTTTATTTTCTGTGTATAGAATCTTATGTCAAATCTCAATCAGTAAAATCAAAAGTTATTATTTTGATTTTTTTTCGTGTACAAACTAAAAACAGACTATTTTATTTATTCGGTGTCTACACTAAAATGTCTAATAATATGCGTTCAAATAACATATCTTATGTTTACTTTTATTCCACTTTAAAATAAAAAAATCAGAAATGATTGGCGAAATTGTAAAATGAGTTTTTTATTATATTTTTTTATAAGTAAACTTGTATTAATTTAGAGTAGCTGCTCAAACCCAAATACAATAACAAAAAGCAATTCTATCTTACAACAAGATCAAAAAATAATTTAAGACAAAGAAGATGATATTTGTATCAATCATTACATTTTTTATTAATTCTAAAATCTAGACTAAATCAAAACATATTGAGATATATTTAGGAAAACATATTTTAGAAAAAGATATATTTAAGAAAATAATTGCTAGGATATTTTCTAATTTATAGATCTCCAAAGATATGATTTTTGATGTACTGCTATTATAAATATGGTTACATGTGATTGAGAATAAACAAGTCAATTTACCAATTCTTCATGGTAATCAAAGTTTGAAAACGTTTTTCTCAAGAATAAATTGATATGGCTGGCGGTGAAACCCCACCACCACCACACCTAAGATTGAACCTAATTCACCATATTACCTCGAATCGCAAGATCGACCAGGAGATTTCATCACACCCACCCGCCTAACAGCAGATAATTATGAATCTTGGGCAGCCGATATACAAACGGCATTAGAAGCTCGGGGAAAATTCGAATTTCTGGATGGCTCGATCAATAAACCGTCATCCCTTTACACGCAGTCTGATTGGACGACGATTAATGCGATGCTCATATTGTGGATCACGAATACAATAGACCCCGATTTGAAGACATCCTTGTCTGAATTAGGCTAAACCCTTTTGGGATCACCTCAAGCAGCGTTTCACACAAACTAATGGTCCTTGCATTCAACAATTGCGCTCTTCAATTGCAAAGTGCGAACAGACCAAATTAATGTCGGTTTCTGTGTACTACGACAAGTTGCATACTTTGTGGCAGGAACTTGATCGACACGAGCCTTTGATCTCATGTTCTTGTTGTGCTACGTGTTCGGCGGGGAAATTGCACGAGGAGCGTCGAGCACAAGCACGCCTACATGATTTCTTAATGGGACCAAGTGGGTCTTCAGAAACAAAATTAACGAACTTGGTGAAGTCGTTAGAAATAAAGCTAGACTTGTGGCTCAAGGCTATAGTCAGCATAATGGAATATACTTCTTTGAAACCTTTGTTCCTGTTGCAAGGTTAGAAGACATAAGACTACTTCTCTCGTATGCCATCAACCATGACATAATTCTCTATCAAATGGACGTGAAAAGTGCTTTTCTGAATGGAGTCATTACTGAAGAAGTGTATGTCAAACAACCTTCAGGATTTATTGACCTAAATCATCCAAATCATGTCTTAAAGCTTAAAAAATCTCTTTATGGTCTTAAACAAGCTCCAAGAGCTTGGTATGAAAGATTGAGTAATTTTCTGCTTGAAAACGGTTTTGTTAAAGGAAAGGTTGACACTACACTTTTCAGAAAGACTTTAAAGGAAGAAATCTTAATTGTTCAGATTTATGTTGATGACATAAATTTTGGTTCCACTAACACATCTCTTTTTCAAGAGTTTTCCAAGACCATGCAGGCTGAATTTGAGATGAGCATGATGGGTGAATTAAAATACTTTCTTGGTATTCAGATTAAACAAAAGTCTGAAGGTATTTACATTCACCAGTCTAAATATACAAAGGAGCTTTTGAAAAAATTCAATCTTGATAATTGCAAAGTCTTTTCAAATCCAATTCATCCTACATGTATCCTTGGTGCTGAAGAGTGCAGTTTCAAAGTAGATCTAACTAAATATTGAGGTATGATAGGTTCCTTACTCTATCTCACTATTTCTAGACCTGATATTTTGTTCAGTGTATATTTATGTGCAAGGTTCCAAGTAGATCCTAGGGAGACTCACTTAACTGCTGTTAAGATAATCTTTAGGTATCTGAAAGGAACATTAAATCTTGGGCTTCTATATAAAAAGTCCTCAGATTATAAACTGGTTGGATTCTATGATGCTGACTATGCTGGAGATAGAATTGAAAGGAAATCCATTAGTGGTTCTTGTCAATTTTTAGGTAAAAACCTTATCTCTTGGGGTAGTAGAAGGCATGCAACTATTGCCTTGTCTACAGTAGAAGCAGAATACATCTCAGCCGCTAGTTGCTGCACTCAACTACTCTGGATGAAATATCAACTTAAAGACTATCAAATTTTTGGAAACAAAATTCCAATTCCTTGTGATGATATTGATGCTATCTGTCTAACAAAGAATCTAATTCAGCATTTTAGAACCAAGTATATTGAAATCAAATATCATTTTATAAGGGATTATGTTCAAAAGGGTGTTATAGATATTCAGTTCGTTGATTCTGAACATCAATGGGCTGATATATTTACAAAATCCTTGGCCATCAATCAATATGATTTCATTAAGAAAATTTAAAACATGGTTTATGTCGTTGAATAAACGCTTGTTCTCTGTGTCACGGTTAGAATCAGATATCAAGTTATTGATTAACTTGAATCGCAAATCATGTTCACCACTGGTCTTTAATTTGTCCAAGGGAAGTGAAAAAGATCGAATTACCCACAAGTATGCAATGCAAAGCTAGAGAATCTAAGGTTCGGGGGTCGGCTAAACATAGGGAAAGTATTATCATCCTAAACATTTGTAGTACTCTACAGGAACCTCTTGTTTTAATCGTATTATTGTTGTCTGTTAAGGGTAAGAGACTTAGGGGTTTATTTCTGAGTATGCTCGTCAAGTAGTCGCATATTGTGCCTACGTATCCTGACGACAATGGAATTAGAGCATTCGTAGTTCCCCTAAAGGGATTGAGGAACCATTGACTGTAGTCAAAGTTTCAAGGGGAGAAGGTTTATTGATTGATTCTAGGAGAAAAGACGAGTGGTCATCTTAGGGCGAATACTCGACTTAACCACCACGAACGTATGAAAGATGGTCTTTGCATCGAATTGAGAGAAGAGCTCCAACTCGAATTTAATTGATGAGTATGCCACATACCTCTCCCAAACAACTAATAAATCCTACCTAATGCCACAATAAAATTCAAAAGAAAAAGAATTAAATTAAATAAACAAAATACAGGGGTGAAGATAATAAATAATAAAAAAAAGAACGGGCTCGACCCATGCTCTTCTTCGTGGGAGTGGGCTGAAACTGAAAAAAAAAACCAAGGATTAAAAAAACAACAAAACGGGCCAAATGGCCATCCACCCGATTCCATCGGTACTTATAGCATGTTCTATAGAAGAGGGACAAAACAATGATGTCCAAAACCCCTTTCACTCTCTCTCGCGCGTGCTTCACGTGTCTTCTCCGTTCTCACAAAAATTATCAAAATGAAATCACCAAACATACAAGGTAAAAGAATAAAAGCGATGCGTGCGGATCAGAATGATCATTAAAGAAAGATTTTACCAACGATGAAATGCGATCGGACTGAGGATTTGAGATCGGTACGGGCGGCGGTGACTTCACGGTGGTTTTCGACGATGTGCAGTGACCTTTGTTACGTAACGAAGGCGCGTGATTATGATGCATTCTACCCCTTTGCTTGTATTCTCAGTTTGAAAATGTCTTCACTTTTTCTTTCTCACGTTTATGGTATAAGGATGTGTGTGGCTCTCAATCCATTTTCTTTGTCCTGTAACCTCTTTTATAGTCGAATTTCTGTGATTTTTCTTAATGATGCATAATGACTTCCCTTCAATTTTCATATGAATATGTCGCCGTGTGGTAAAATTATTTCCATTTCGATGTGAACATGTACAAACATTGCTCAGATTGCTTTCCTTTCTCATTTAACACATTCTTTTTTTTTGTTTGGAAATTAATGCAGATATTCTGTGCCATTTTGCAGCTCGGTTTATAATAGATGACGTGGTTGTCTTGCTATCAACATTGGCTTTTGCTCAGAAGGCTTTGCGAGTAGCATATGAAGATCAACTTGGGTCAGTTACTGAACTTCAGTATCTTCAAAAGTAGGTGGTTCTAAAACAAACTTTGGCTGCAAATATAGGACTTCATAGTTATATCAAGGTTCTTTTTTTCCGCAGTTCCTACATAACCTCTTCCACTAGAACCAAAAGTCCCTAATTTCTTGGGAGTAACTCTTTGAGAGACTCTAGCACGGGAGTTGATATTCTTTCGGAAATGTCTGTGAATTTTTCCATCAAAAGTTTAGTTCACCATTTTCCAAAAGCATGTAGCAAAGGGAGTACACTTTCATGTCGTGCATATTCAAGTTGAACATTTAAGTACCCAGATGGGACTCTATCTTCAACAAGCTAAGAAAAGGCCTAACTTGTTCTTGCTTCTTTTCTTGAACTTTGTCTTCTAATTCTTTGTATTGTAATGACTTGTATTTAGGCATTTGAATGTGTCTTGTAAGCTTGTAAAAAAAACCTTGGCGTGTAAAGAGAGCTAGGAGTTGAGTCTTCATGTTTGGACTTGGGTTTTGAACTTTGAATTTGAAGAGTAAACTTTGAAGATTACTTTGCACCTTGTGATTTTGACAAATTTCTAACATTTGGCTTTGAAGTTTTGAACCCCTTTTGATTTTGCATTATACTTTGACTTTTATGAGACACATGAATCAATTAATGACCTTGGGCCTTGAATTGGATACTTGAATCTTGGAATTATGAATCTTTCAAGTTTAGAGTCTTCATGATATCTTATCTTGAATTTTGAAGTTTTAGAGTAAAATTTGATGAAGTTTGGATACTTGGGCCTTTTGATGATTTGAACGTTCTTGCATCCATTCTTAATAAATCATACTCTATATG